AATTATAAAAACTGTGAAGCTAAAAAAAGATAATTAGAATTATAAAACTGTGAGGCTAAAAAAATAAAACAAGCTTGGAAGCAGGAATGGCATCCACTTCCTAAATAGCTTGCCTCCGGAAACCCTATGAACTTGGAGAAATGATGAAAGTTATACAAGTGTTCAGGTCTTTAATTCATAGGGTCACTATGAGTTGCCTATGACTCGATGGCAATTAACAACACCAACCCTTGTCTTAACTTTTTTACAGAACACTATCTTCCCTGAGAACACAAATTATCAGGACCAGGAAATTAACACTGCCTTTCATCCATCTAAACTCAAGGTAAACTACAGTTTCATCAAGATTTTTAAATATACTTCCTCACCAGAGTGCATCTCAGCAGAGTAACTCCTACCCTCAGTAGCATGAAATCCTTTTCTTTACTAGATAAGAAGTTTCCATGAAGATCCATTAAACCTCAACAATGAATGCATCAGACATTTTGCATTCAATTTAAAAAATTGCATAGATTATATAGGAGTCCATGGATGCCAGGTAAGAACTTATGTTCATGCCATTTGTAGGGATTAACTTGTTCTTTTCCTCTGCCTCATCAGCTGTTTCCTAATACTAATCAATTTTGCAAATGAGGAAACTCTTTTCTCACTGAGCAATGAGAATCCTAATTATCATTAACCTTTCCTTTCATACCTTTCTCCCAAAAAAAGAACTGCAGAGTTATCTACTGTCCCCTTTGGTTTAATTCATGAGCAAGTATAATTCTTAAACCTCCCATTTGCCAGCTAGAACAGGGAGAGAAATTGTCTTGACTTGCAGTCCCAAGTTTATAAAACAAAGGATTTTTAAGGTGGTATTTAGTTGATCAGTCATATAATAGCAAAGAGAAAGTAAAATAACAAATTTCAACCCCTGAAAAACCTAGAACACTTAGATATTCCATGAAGGATTTCTGACTTTTCTGCATTGATTTTAATCTTGAGACGACTTTCCTTAGTTATAGGAATATAAATAGTATTTCTTCTTTGTTTCACAGGTTTGGAATACCACGTAAGAAATCAGCATATATGATGCTGGAAACTTATAAACTGCTCATGACTAAAGGCCTAAAGAAAATGTGTCTTTCAAGTTCTTATTAAGAAAATGACTACTGAAACAAGGATGGGTCAGAAAGACCAGTGGAAAACTCCCTAGGAGAGAGCCATAGAAGATGTACACTACAGAAGAGAACTGTAATCAGGGAACTCAAAAAAGAAAACCCTATCATGTATGCCCTCATAAGGGTAGAAAGATTGTTATCCATGTACATAAAATTACTCAAATAGATGATCAGATTTACCAGTGCCTTGAACGTGAGCGAAGCTTCCGTGAAAACTTAGCTCTTATTATGTGTGAGAGAACCCATACTGGAGAGAAACCTTTTAGATGTGATATGTGTGAGAAAACCTTCATCCAAAGCTCAGAACTCATTTCACATCAGAGGTTCCACACATACGAGAAACCTTATAAATGTAGCAAATGCGAGAAGAGTTTTTGGCACCACTTAGCCCTTTCAGGACACCAGAGAACCCATGCAGGGAAAAAATTCTATACATGTGACATTTGTGACAAGAATTTTGGTCAGAGCTCTGATCTGCTTGTCCACCAGCGAAGCCATACAGGCGAGAAACCTTACTTATGTAGTGAGTGTGATAAATGCTTCAGCAGAAGTACAAACCTCATAAGACATCGAAGAACTCACACAGGGGAGAAACCATTTAAGTGTCTGGAATGTGAAAAGGCTTTTAGTGGGAAATCAGATCTTATTAGCCACCAGAGAACTCATACTGGTGAGAGGCCCTACAAATGTAATAAGTGTGAGAAGAGTTACCGTCACCGTTCAGCCTTCATTGTACATAAAAGAGTTCATACTGGGGAGAAGCCCTATAAGTGTGGTGCCTGCGAGAAATGCTTTGGCCAGAAATCAGACCTAATTGTGCACCAGAGAGTCCATACAGGTGAAAAGCCGTATAAATGCTTGGAATGTATGAGAAGTTTTACTCGGAGTGCCAATCTAATCAGGCACCAGGCAACTCACACTCATACTTTTAAATGCCTTGAATATGAGAAAAGTTTCAACTGTAACTCGGACCTTATTGTACATCAGAGAATTCACATGGAGGAGAAACCACACCAGTGGTCAACCTGTGAGAGTGGCTTCATTCTAGGCATGGACTTTGTTGCCCAACAGAAAGTGAGAACTCAAACAGAGGAGCTCCATTATAAATACAGTCTGTGTGATAAAAGCTTCCACCAGAACTCGGCACTTATTCAACACCAAACAATCCACATTGGTGAAAAACCATATATCTGTAATGTTGGTGAGAAAGGTGTTGAGCTCAGCCCTCCCCATGCTTCAGAAGCCTCACAAATGTCTTGACTAGATAAGTTAAAATACCATGCAAAGAAATGTATTTACATGTCAGAAAACTCACTATGATGAAAAAACTTAGGCATATCTTAACAGTGAAACAGACTTTTCAGAGCTCAACATCCTGACCTCAGTGGGGACCAGAGAACCATCAGTTATAAAAAATGTGTGAAATATTTTGCCCAACAGAACATTGTATCCTCCAATGAGAACCCCTACAGATTCCCTGAGTTTTGAGAAACCATTAGTCTGAGCTCAAATCTGATCACCTATTACAGGATTCATAAAAGTCAGGAGCTTTATAATGCAGTGTATGTGACAAAACTTTCTAGCAGTGCCCCACCCTCCTTGTTCCACGAGAATTCACAAAGGAGAACACTTGTTAAATGCCCTCATTGTCAGCAGTGTTTCAGGCAGTGTGCACATTTCATTGGGCTTCAGTAAAACTCAACACTTAGAAAAGTTCCAATAAGTGTGAGAAAAGCAAGCAAAGCTCTGACTTTCTTACACAATGGAGAAACCCCTATGTTGAAAAATTACATATTTGTCATGCATGTGGCAGAAGTATCAGTTGGAGAGCCTATTTGCATTTGCATTTTAAAAAGATCATAAGGTAATATGAAAAAGGAAGCTTCTGCCAGTGACCAGCTCTCGTTGTATACCAGGGAACTCATCTAAGTGAAAATCTCTTTAAATACCTTGAGCCTGGAAACAGTTTTGCTAGAAATAGAAGCCCTTATCAGGCCCCAGAGAACATACTCCGTAGGGAATTTTGCTCCAGTGAGAGAGCTAAATTGTGGATGAAAATCTGTACATAAAATACTAATGAGAATGGCTGTTCTCATAGTTAGTTGACACATAGAGATGACTTTACATGGGATCAGTTAAAACAGTTTTTTAGATACCCAGGGCTTGTTCTGGAAGGAGCTAGAGTAGGTCTGTTGGTTAACTCAGGTAAAGATGCTTTTCTTTGATCTGAACCACTTAAAAGATTTTTTTTTTAATTCCAAAATACAATAAAGGCAAGGACTAAACATGCATTAGAAGGTGTGGCATGTATTACTGTTGGGGAAAAGAAATATATTGGCTTTGTACATGGTTTTTATTCTTGACTACAATGGGGACTAATGTGTTGGTGATAGCATAGAGGCTTTTTATTGGCAGTGAAAAGAATAAGAAACTAGGGAGTAGTTTTCCTGTAACAAACTGTATAGCTCCCCCTTTGCAGGGCCAACCTCAAAGAAGAGTACTCTTGCTTTTTACTGAGTGTGAGTTGAATATACCCTCAAAAGTTTAATTTTCTTTAATATATATCTTTCAGACTATCACTGGTGTTTATAGAATTCCAGCCTTAGAGAATCTTTTAACTTGGAAATGCAAATTCTAGGATAATAGTTATAATATTGCTGCTATCTATAATATAACTTCATTAGTTTGTCTTTTTTAATGGTAGATACCTGCAACCACTTCTTGTAAACACTTGAGGAAGATTGAAAGAAAAGTTTTAAGTCTGAGTTGGCACACAAGAATGACTACATCAGTCCCAAAAACCTACTGCTGTCGATTCAATTCTGACTCCTGGTGACCCTGCATCTGGTCTCCAAGGCTGTAAATCTTTCAGGGAGGGGCTGTCTGTTTTTCTTTTTCAGAGCACCTGGTGGATTCAAACTACTGACCTTTTGGTTAGCAGTGTGAAATATTAGGCACTACACCACCAGGACTCCTTAAGGACCACATAATCAAAATTAATAGAAACACTTGATTTTCTGATTTCAACTAACCTGATTCCGAGGCTAGTCTATTACACCTTGTATGTATGCCAGTTCTATGCAGAAAAGAGAGTATCTTCAATTACCAGAGAAAGGATTGTAGTAATCTCAATATGGGGTTTACATTTGCTTTGGAATACAGTATTCTAAATACTAGGAGGGAAAAGAAGTTGGCAAATAGGTCAGAAGTTTAAGGGAAAGCACTTGTTTCCAACTTAAAGTAATTATTGTCCTAACATCCTCTGGAAATACTATAATCAATCCAGAGATCTATAAATGTACACTTCTGAGTTTGTCTTATTCTGTCAGATAAAAATATTTAATAGAAATATTTCCAAATCCCACAGAGGGTGGAACTGGTGAATAAACATTTGTTGCTAGTCTGAGTCTTCAGATTTGGTTTCGTTTATCTTAGCTAAGAACTCAGAGGCCAGAATGGCGGAGACCACTGTCATTTGGATTCATGAAGGTGGCCAACTTTGCTACTTTGCATAGGGTTCTAAGATTTAATCCTAATGACTGGTCCTTTCTTAGTGACTGTTGAGCCATGATGATGATCATAATTTTGGGCCAGTGGATGTAGCTCAAAGCAGTAATAAGGAATCTAAGTTTTAGACAGTGTTTCTTTTAGAAAACAGATCCAGGGAGTCATTTTGAGCTGATGTGTTTAAATAAATTTCATAATAGCTCTTGTACCGTGAAACATGCCCAATGTGTTGAAATACACAAGATGTATTTGTTTCTTTTTGGTGAGAATCATGCCTATCATTAGTATATGTTTGACAGTTGTAATACTTAAAATAGTATTGGGGATGTGCCATGATGGTAATGGAAAGTAGTGCTTATAGCCACTTTTTTAGTCATTAGAGGGAACTTTGAGAAGGAGACAAAGTTGTATCATTTGCAGGGCAGTGGCTTTGCCCCTTCTTTCTGCTAATCTTACTGATAATTGTGTCTAACTAAATGGTAGCCTGGGGGCTTTTAGAAAAATTATTGGTATTATCCATATAGCAAAGCCTGAGGTTGGAGAGGACCACTTGGGAACCTGTAGCCAAAACTAGAAGGTAACTTCTGGGATGGATGGAGGTTCTCTTGAAGCAGTGCCAACCTAAATCTACCTCAGGTAAGTCATTAGAGTAACTTCCAAGATTTCAGACCAAATGAGACACTTGTATTCAGTCCATGTATTCATTCCTATACTTTAATGTTTTTGTTTCCCTTTAATTCTTAAATAAACATTTGTTCTGAAAACTATTTTGTCTCTATTATAACTAAAACGAAGGATATCTCACCCCCCATATTACTCATGTTAGAAATAGGTACATTTTTGTATGGCTCTTAGACTTGATGACAAATAATAGCCATCAGGCTAGCTGTAGAATTGCAGGAGTTTTTCCACTATGAGACAGCAAATGGAAGCTTGGGGGAATATTGGCAGCTATTCTGGACAGTGAATCCTTTTTATAGCCTCCATCACATTACATAAAATCAGAAGGAAAGCTGTAGCTTGAACTGACCATATTTAGGCTAGTGATAAAATTGAGTTAACAAACCATCTGTACCTTGATTTAAATATGATCAACACTTCTGAAAATTAAAGAAGGAAATTTTTATTTTCTGGTCCCAGCCATAATTGACTTAGATTTTATCTGTTCCCTTTTTATGCCCTCATGAATATGAAGGAGGAGATTTAGAAACTGATTTACTCCTCATTATGCAGGAAATGATCTAGACTTTAAAAGAAAAGATTAAGGAGGCCGAAGGCAATAACTTGTAAAGAGAAGGTTGTTCCATTGACAGTGTTTGCATTGGCATAAGAAATTGGGGGGAAAAAAAGGTATGTCACTGGTAGTGACAATCGAGAGCATCAAGTTGACAGAGTCTGTTGAAGCACAGGACAGTTTGGGAGTACTCCTGGCATTTGTCTTTGTTTTCACATTCTCTGAAATGCTAGGACTGTTTTAATTGTCTGGTTGTCAAAGTTGCTTTATTTGAAATGTGGAAGAACCTTTTCTATGGAATTTTAAGTAGACCCTCCATTTTGAGAGTGTTTAAATAAAGAACGTCCTCTAGGATCGACAACAGGTTGAAGTTGGAGCTGCTTTGATAGACTGGTGTTAAGGGCACAGTAAAACTTTATGGTTTACTGATGAATGAGAAACCCTGGTGGTTTTGGGGCTGTTAATTGAAAGGTCTGATACAGGCCATGGTCTTTGCAATCACTTGTTATGCATCAGAGAGTTGGACAATGACTAGGGAGGATAGAAGGAGAATTGACGCCTTTGAGCTGTGGTGCTGGAGAAGAGTATTGAATGTTCCATGGACTGCCAAGAAAAACAGATCCATCCTAGAGAGGGTTAAATCAGGCTACTCCGTGGAGGCAAGGATTCTGGGGCTTGGTAGGGTAGAGGGATAGCGCAGGAGGGGAAGACCCTCTGTGAGGTGGATTGATTCAGTGACTGGTGTAATCGGGATGGGTGTGTCAGAGGCAATGCGATTGACACAGGATAGAGCAGGGTTTAGGGCTGTTGTACATAGGGTTGCTTTGAGTCACAAACAACTCGATGGCACATAATGACAATTGAAAGGTCTACGGTTCTGATGCATCTGATGTCCCATGGGCAATGGAGACAGTCTACTTCAACAGAGATTTATAGCCTTGGAAAGAAACTCTGTGGGTAGTTCTCTGTCCTGCAGGGCTTCTTAGAGACAGAATTGCTTCAGTGGTGTGAGGTTTGGGGTGGGTGGTTGGGTTGGTTTGGTTTGGTTTTAGTTTAAGCCAGACACTTGGTCCTGCCTGTAAACTCACTGAGAGAACTTAACCACTGGCTTGTCAACCTTTAAATTATTAATATTTTATCACTAAGGCTCTGAACTGAATTTTATAACTTAGCTTATAAGGAGCTTGAATTTTTATTCTTTTTATCCGTGTTTCCCACAAATAACCTAGAGTGGGCATGTCACCCTCACTCCATAAGGAAGTACTGGCTCTTGAATTAAGTGCCTTGTATGAAATACCCTCTTTTCTTGTCAAACTTCATTTGGTATTCCCAGGCTTAAGCTAAGCACGTGATATTACTTTGGTTGGTTTTATTGCTTAGGAGTGGACATGTAAATTAGGTTACCCACTTGTGTTATGGGCTATCAGTATGACTCCAATTCATTGATGTCCTATGAACATCAGATTGAAACTTTGCCCTATTGAGCACCATCCTCACAATCAAAGTCCTCAGGCCCATTGTTGTAGTCACTGGATCAGTTCATCTGGTTAATGACTAAAGGAAAATTATTTCATCAAATCTTCCTCCTTGCTTCACCCTACAGTTGCTTTGAGATCTTTACTGAAAGATGAGTCAAGAACTGTACCTAAAGTGA